AAACTTAAGCCTAAGTATCTGGTTTAGAACAAAATTAGATGTTACAATACACAACATATAAATAGCTCCAAACATCTGAGTTTGGTCCAAGGAGGAGGAGAGGGGGGCATAGGCCCCCTCGGCCTCAACATAGATCTGATTGAAACTTGATCAGAGGAGGAGAACTGCTCGCTCTACTGCATCCATTATGCATATCTCATTGCGCCACCCGGCGGCGGACTCATCCACAACTTGCAACGCACCAAAGCTGAGCTATACTTGTGGAATCCGAACCAGATAGGGTGGCTCACCTCAGTTTGGAACCGGGCGACGACGTTGAACACCTTGGGCCCACCGTTGGTTGTGGCCACCTGTCACACGTGGGCTTCATCGTCGGAGATCCATGTGTCATTGACGAAACGTACATGATGCCTTGCACTCATATGTGGTTGCTTCAATGTGGTTACTAAAGTGAAATAGTGAAATAGGTTCTCCGTTTCACCTAAGATCAGCTAAAAAAATACCATGTCCCACAAGTTTCAACTAGATGGGCACTCTTTGCGAGAGTGACAATTCTTTCTTGCAGTTTCAGCCGTTCAGATTGACATGTAGCAGCTTTTGTTCGTTTTGTAACCTTGAATCGACATGGAAAATGTCATTTGGAGCTTCGTGTGCACGTACTTTGGTTTATCATCGCCTAGCTCTATGCCTACGTAACTACCAATTCTATATGTGGTGGCAGGGATATGATTGAGCTGGAATAACGCGTGTCCACTTCATTTATGTAGCGCAACAACCAACCACTTCACATATGCAGTGGCAATATCGAATGATCACACATGCTAACTAACAAAACACAGCATTTGACAGCATGGCCAACACTGCCACTCAATAACACGACGACCATTTCGCCCTAAATTTCATTTTCATGTTTCAGACTCCAAACTCCACGGACCACGTTCACGGTACCAATTGTTGTTTTCACCTCTTACCTGCGTTTGCGTGGCCATATGAATGGGACCATTAGCAGACCATGATTACGCCTGATTCTCACAAAAGTTGTTCATCCTAATTTTATAATAGTCTTGCTTGGATAAACGTATAAAAGACAATATGAACCTTTGGCAAATTATAGTATACATATACGCCGTACGTTAGCAAAAGGCGGCTCACTTTTTTTGAAATACGGCCCGTAGGCGATTTTATTCATTCATAGACCGTACACAATCCGAGTGCAAAGCTGCACTTAGGAATACAGGGGTAGTAAAAAAGTTCATGCTACTCATCTCAGTAGTAACACCATACGTAGCCAAAACATGAGCTGCTTCATTGGCCTCTCTGGAATTATGCTGAATCTCTACCCCTTGAAAAAGCGAGAGATATGAGGACATCTCTCTGAAGATAGGGCCACCCACCGAACAGTGTATCCCGGCGTTCCGGTCATCTACTACTGGTTTGCAATCTGATATGATCTCCACCCTTGGCCATCCTCTGTCCATAGCTAGCAACATAGCATCTCTGCACCCCATTGCTTCACACACATATGGATCAGCCAGCCCCTCGTATGAGACATATCTCCCTCCCTGAAACTCTCCTTTGTGATTTCTTGCCACTACCGCCGTCCCAGCTCTGTGACCCATAGCATCAGTTGCAGCATCCACATTTAGCTTCACCACACCTTCTGCCGGGGCCTGCCATCTTTCTTTCTGTCGCTGTACAATCTTGTCGTTGGCTGGTATATTCAGGGCTCTCAGGTGCTCCTGAATGAGCTCCATGGACCTGATCGGTTGGTACTGCCGCTCCCCATGAGTGTACTTGTTGCGGTCGCTCCATATTGCCCACATCACCGAGATTACAATGGCTGCATCCCCCCTTTGCGATGAAGTTGGGGTCGAGGAGATCCCTAGTCCAAGTCAGAGGTAGCAACGTAGGAGGGTTGCAACCAAAAAATCTGAGTGCCTCTGCCCAGAACAGTTGTGCATGTGTGCAGGTAACCAAGGAATGAAACAGTGTCTCTTCTTCATGCCCACACATCGCACAAATCACATCCTTACCTATGTGTCTCTTTGCGAGCTCCGCCTTGGCAGGTAGGAACCCTTTCATCACCCTCCACCAGAAGATTCGAAATTTGGGTTGAACATTCAGCTTCCATAGACGTTTCCAGCTTTCTTCCTCTCCCGATGAGCTGCCCGCCGAGCTGTGGCCTTCATCCTGAATCTGTTTTAACACGCGGTAAGCCGATCTGACAGAAAAGACGCCAGATCGCTCCCAGGCCCAAGCCCAAAAATCATCCTCATTTATCCTTGGTCTCGGCAGGTTCAAGATAGCGTCGACATCCGATCTCAAGAAAAGTTTCTGTAGCAGCTCCGTATTCCACTACCCATCGTCCTCTTGCAGCAAGTCGGAAACTAGCTGCACAGGTTCATTAGACAACCTGCAGATCGGCTTCATTGAGGTCGTACCATCTATCCAATGATCATGCCAAATCTCAGTTGTTTGTCCATTCCCCACCCGACGGATCAGTCCTTTTTTAAGAACCTCCCGTCCTTGTAAAATCGCCCGCCAAGTGCGAGAAGAACTGGCTGGACAACCAGCCTGAAGGAAGTTCCCATCTGGGTAGTAGCGGCCTCGCAAGACCCTTGCACATAAACTTCCTGGGTTTACCAGCAGTCGCCAAGCTTGCTTAGCTAACATTGCGTCATTAAAAAGCTCCAGGTCACGGAAACCTAGCCCCCCCTTAGCCTTCGGGGTTGCTAACTTCGGCCATGCTTGCCAATGCATACATTTCTTGTCAGAAGAACCCGCCCACCAA